AAATTCAACTATTTCTGCCAGCAAGAGGTTTAAATTTACCCCAGAGCAAAAACATAAATCTTAAATGTTAAATAAAAGGAAATTGGAGTTTCTACTGCATGTTTAATCATTTTGGTGGTTGATTATGGCTGCTACTTTTCCACACAGATTGAGACTTTAACAGATAACATGATAGCTGTACAATAATGTGGAGTAGAGTTTGTCTGCTTAATGTTTTTAAACTTGTTGGTTGTGAAAATGTTGGCCAAACTTTGGAAATCTCAAGTTTCAAGATAAGTCAGGGTATGGATCTAAATTTTTTAGATCCAAATACATCCAAAGCTAATAGAATATGTTAAACAGTTTAAAATGTGACCTCTGTTTTTGTTTTGAAATAACTGGTAAATTGCCTCTGCTCCTAATTTAAAATTTAATGATCACTCATTGAGAGAAAAAAACGTTGTTCTTTCTCACTAAAGCAAAGTAAATCTTTTGTTTAGAAAGAAACGCTGCAACTTCTAAAGCAGCTGCATGTTTTGTAACATTCCTGTTAGCATTAAATGTTTTCAACAGTGAAATTAATGCAAAATAATGGATATGCCCTAAAGATTTAAACACAATGGAATACCAAAGTAGTACTCATTGACCATCTGCTAAATTTGCCAGATAAAACATTATGATTCATGTACTGTATATCTGCTGGAAACCTTAATCCACTGTTCACTCTACTGTAAGCCATCTTTTATCATATGGAGAAATGTGGATGAGTGACTTTGAATGCAGATGTCAGAAAAGCTCGCTCAGTGCTCACAGACACACTGATGAGTCTAATCAACCATGCAGGGCTTTCAAGTTGCAAGGCTCGATTCCAAATATGGCCCATGTGTGTCACTCTTTGTGACCAAAAGGAAGAGTAAACAACAGCCCCCGCCACAATTACTGCCACTCCTGACTCAATGACAGTCATTGCTATGAAGAACCGGTTATTAGGATTAGTGAGGAATTACTTTTTAGTTGTTGTTTTTACATAAAAACTAATTTGGTTAGCTTTCTTCAATTAACCTGTTGGTCTCAGGTTGTCATACAGGGGTGTCAAACTCCAGTCCTCAAGGGCCGTTGTCCTGCAGTGTTTAGATGTGCCACAGGTAAAAAGCAGTGGAATGAAATGGCTTAATTACCTCCTCCCTGTGTAGATCGGTTCTCCTGAGCCTTGCTAATGACCTAATTATTCTTTTCAGGTGTGGCGCAGCAGAGGCACATCTAAAAGTTGCAGGGCAGCGGCCCTTGAGGACTGGAGTTTGACACCCCTGTCACGAGAGGACCCAAATTTGGGTCCTCTCGTGACAGACAGGTTAATACATAAAATTATCATTTAAAAATTTAATTTTGCTTTTATTCCTTTTATCTTTGCTTGGTTTTGAAATTCATTTTGAAATTAAAACATTGATCTCAAATGTTTTAGAGAGACAATAAAGCAAGACCAGAAGGAACGTGCTGGAAGGTAAATGCCTTTTTGCTGCTCTGACGTAAATGTAAGGCTGTTAACTTTTGAACTTTTTTAAGTTTGATAGTTGATAATCTTTGTCTTGCTGCTTGCCCTGGGGAATAACTTTGATGTGACAGCATAGAACATTCCTCTTAGCCACTTACAAAAAAATGCCATTGAAGTAAAAAATATGTGGTTTAGCCTTCAGTTATGATGGTGGGAAACTGGATAGTTATTATGTGAATTTCCATAAACTTTTCCTCATACTTTCTTCATGCTGACAGATGAAACAAAAGCTACTGAATATTTTGAATAACTTAACATGGTCACAAGTTAAGTTAACATGTGGAAAGTAAAAATCTTTAAAAATTAGTCAGAGAATGACATCAGAGTGGAAACCTAGAGAGGAAGTATATGAGAGTATGGGAGAAGAAAAAATTGTGTCCAACTGGTTTGTACAAAGTAATTGTAGAAGTGAGGCACCACTAATCTTTTAAAATGACTCTTTTATTAACATATTTTTTTCCCTTTGATGTCTAACTCTACCCCAACTACTGTACGGATTTTATTTTTTTTCATTTTTAATGTTAAATTGTGTTACATCAATAAAACCTAGATTTCCCCTAAAGTAATCTCTTTTTTAGCCAGATGAAAAAATAAATGTGGAGACGAGTGTTTATATCAAAGTGAGATAAGAAGTAATCTATCTAGAGATTGACCACAAAACTATCTACAACCGTTCTTCGGAAATAAACAATGTAGCAAGTCATACAGTTTACAGCTAAACTGTATGACTTGTGCCATTAATCCTCCATCATATCTTATCCACATACAATCTTAAGCAGTGCATCCTGGTGGGAAAATGAATGTATTCTCACAATAGCGCTCAGCTTAGTCCTGGCATTGATTCATCTCGAGCAGACAGCGTGTGGTCTCGGTCACCTCAGCCAATCTTGTGGATCCTCTGTCTGTTTGATTCACATGACTCAAGGGACGAGGGATAATGTTGTAGGCTGCAGATTTCTGACGTACGAGATGGCAGTGATACTATAATCCCAAACTAGACCCTGGACAGATGTTTATCCTGGCTGACCGGGCTGCACACACACTGGCCGTATGCTCATCCAAGCGTTTAAACACAAACTCACATGCGCCATTCCCAAAATAAGCGATGTGGACATTTCTATTTTTTCTAGGCCACATTGTTTACATCCAACCAAAATATGTCCTGACTGGTCAGATGCGTCAGTCTTCTTTTTTTTTTTTTGCGTTACAAAGCCATGTTGGAGTACACCATCAATTAACTTTTATTATATTGGATGACCCAACCCAAGAGCAAAAAACACTCTGCTCTTGTAAAACTCTTTTCCAAAATTGAAGCAAAAATGAGTGTAAAAGCAGAGTGTCTAAACTGAAAATTAATTTCTGTTAGTTCATAAAACTACACTTATGTGTGCAACACAGAGAGCAGCATGCTTCTGAAGTTTCTTGAGAAGTTTGAAACATATTTTTCTTTTTCTTTGTTAAGAAAGATAAAATTACTGTTGGCCTTTCTGATAAAAACAGATTAAATTGGAACAAGATGCTATCTTGATGCCAATTACATGTCAAGCATGTCTACTTACAAGACACAGCTTTATTGCAGATTCATGGTTTTGGAGAATAACATTTTGTTTGCTTGCAATATTTATGTGCTATTAACTTCACAACTGATACATTCCTGTGTTAAAGTTAGAGTGCAACCTAAAACCATTACTGTTTACTTGGGAATAAGTTCCGTCTCCTCATGAGATGAAATGGGAAAATAGCTAAATCTATACATTGGTTGATATTTTCCATTTTTCTTTACAAAAACAGGTACAAATACTAAAGCAGAGCAACTGAATTTTTCCCGTATTCAAGAAGTGTTACTAGCTAATTTCTGAAATAATTGCTTCCAGGGATCAATTGACAAACTCATTTTGGAGAGGTAGTAATTAGCTGTTCTCGAGGCTCCTAATCATGGTTTTCTTCAAATGGAACAAAGAACTTCATATTTGCAAATACAGCTGTCAATCCTGGATATCTATGGTAACAATTAATGATTTAGAAAAAGAGTGTTGTTGCGATTGACTTCCAAATTCAGAGTAGAAATTGAGGTTCTGTGCTCATAGATCCTGTGCTCCAGGATCTATGAATCATTCCTTACTTTTACATGAATTTACCAACATTTTTTAAACGTATATTTTGTTTTCTGTTTTTCTGTTCTTTGCATACGTTCCACGGGAAAGGTTTAACTTCTGGGACTAGCTGAACTATTAGAAAAAGGGTGAATGATTGCAGGTAGCAGCCTGAAAGATATAGTTCATGGGAACAGCATCATTCAGGCATGTTGGATGAACTGAACCTTCGCCTGCATGACAGTCAGTGACAGATCAGTTAGAGATGAGGCATGCAGGCTACGGATGTAAAAACTATTTAAAACTTACTAATCTTGAAGAGAAACACAACCACATGCAGTTTTGCGTGACTGTTACCTTGTTTACTCGATAAGGTAAAAGTTGCTGCTTTTTCATTACGAACGATGACATAAAGTAGGGTTGAATTTACTTTGTTGAAAGATATAAAGATAAAAAAAATAGACTTGGGAAGGGGTTTCTTTGGTTTTCTTTCCCTCTTGTGCTGCTCTTGTTATGAATGGAAAGTGTTCAGCAAGTAAAGATTGATTGACGGGTAGGTTGTATGACATTGTACATAGAAATGTTGTTGACTAATAGTGTGCATTTAGAGTTTTGAATTTTAACACACACTTCAGAATGGTGCAGTGTGTTTGCTTATGTCTGTAGCTATTTTATTATTTTAAGTTTGTTTCTTTTTCTCTGTCTTATGCATGTCGAGATTGATTATTCATTGCCATGCCTCTGCTTACGTCTATTCATGGCTGCGCCCCACATCCCTGTTGGTTATGTCAGAGAGTATTCCCAACACTAAGTCACAGCCATACATCACTCGTTTCAATGACAGGGCCTCCATTACTCTCTATTTTTCTGCCTTTTCCCATCTCCTCCTCAATCTAATGGCTTCCGCAGTTTGCCTATAATGCATCAACCAATAAGGCTGCCGGTGTGCAGCGACACACTACCTCCGGCCGTAATGGAACAGCCTGATTCCCCATATGGTCCATTTTCCAACTAAGCTTTGCTGTGGAAGTTTTTCTAACAAATATTAGATTGAAAGAAAGAAGAATTTTTTTGTGAGTTGTAAATGGACACAGCAAAGTGCAAAACATGGTTTTAATAGAGTTACATAGTTCATTTATAACCCTGAAAAGCTTTGCTTAAACATTCTGTGCACAGGTGTACAGGTTATCCTGCAAAATAAATTTGAAGTTACAATTGTGGATAAACTTTCAACTTCAGAGAATTTTTCATCCCCACAGTGAAATAATGTCTGTGACTTAACCTCACAGAGAGCAAAATGCCTTTTGCAGAAAATAAAACGCTGACATGAACCGACAATAAAATGTAAGATTGGTTTATAATGTGCGCTCACTTACTTGCAGAGGGTGTTTCAGCATGAACAGGAGGTGTGGAAGGGATGAAAGACGGAAAGAAGAAGGATCGCAAAGATCGCTCGGTGTGGAGCGGTGACCGCTGCGTGGGCAGATTCTCACAGCTCCCCACACTGCTGTGAATCTTAAGGTTCAAGGGCTTTGTCTTCTTCTTGGCTCTGAGGGGAAGCAGGACAGTAACATACAAATTAGAGAAACGGATAAGAGGATTTACACAGAAGAATCAACTGATCAAACACAGTAGATGGACACCAAAGTTGATCATCTACATCAGAAAAATATGTTAACATGATGAAGCTCAGCAGTCGGGTGTCATGTTGCATGATGAACCATATACTATGCGATTAGGAACACATTCCTGTCTAAGCGGAAGGCAACAAAATTCAAACTGCACCGTGAAAATGTTGACGTAATTGAAGAGAAGATTAAATAATCACCAAAACCTTTGAAGAAAACTGATCAATATACAGTTGTTTCTTCTTTTATGTGGATTTAAAGCATCCAAGGTTTTACAAAACATTTACAAATTTCTGGCTCATTTTGTGAATTTGAATACTAAATGTTGACATTTACATCTATTGAAAATGCAGCTACTCACAGATACAATCTCTGTTTAGCGTCTACTGGACAGCAAAAACACACAATTTATTATCCTTATATATCTGAAAATCAAGTTTATTGCTTTCAAAACCACAAAAAAAAATGTCTGTCTTACTGTTCCTGCCGTTAAACATTCTTTGAATGAGAGCACAGAGAAAGTGCAGAAGTGATCCAGCACCACCGTTTCCCCATCTTTTTGTTGCTAAATACATTTCTCCTTTAATTACAAGAAAGTAAGATGTGACTGTTTGAACATTTTTCCAAATGCAGAAAACATGGTGTACACGTTAAAGGGGTGCCACCCATCGCTCTTAATAAGTTAAGGCTGTTTAAAAGTGATAGTTGGCAAGCCATAAGCAGCATCTCTGCCAAGCAGCTGAATTCAGGCTGATTAATTAACCAAATAAGAACAGCTTGTTAAACTCGTCTTTCCCTTCAAGAACAGAAAAGTAAAGTACAAACCTCAAAAAGCACAAATAAAGATTTAACAAATCATTGGAAAATAATGAATAATGTGTTTATAATGACAATATAACCACTATTACATCACATAATCAATATTTCATTTTATGTTAGATATGTAGAAATAATTGTTACATTTTGTTTTAAATTTTTGTGGAACTATTTTTACTCAAGATTATCGTATCCACCCAAGATTAGTTGAATTAACTCTGGACTGTCCTGCAGTGGTTGATATTTCTAATTACAACATTTTTAGACATAAGCTGATGTATTACTTTCAAAACGACTTTTTAATTAAAAAAAATTACAACAAATTATAAGTGACCAGTAACTTAGAAGTTGTCAGCTCCCATCCTTATGGGAGATGTTATCATGCTAAAGCTGAGTTTAATAAATTTTGTAGAACAATTTGTCTTTGTCATCTTGTCATGAAGTTTGTTCAGACTAAACATTTCTGTCTGCAGATTATCTGCAGTTAGGAATTAAATGTGAGTTAAAGTGAAGGACAAAACATCTCATTAGTTTTAGATTCAAAACGAAACTTAAGCATAGGTAAATTAGGATATTGAAGATTTAACAAAAGTTTGCTGCACCATAAAGTTTTCATATTTTCAGAAATAGCAACACAACTTATCTCAGCAGAGACGGACTGCACACCTATTATAACAACACTAGGAAATGATAATTGAGGCATAATTTCTCCAGGACTTATAATACATTGTAACTCATTTCATAACTGCAGCAAGTAATAACATGAGGTGACTTTGAGGGGATAATTGGTAATGAAAAGTATACCCTCCATTGTCCTTCATTAGAAAAATAATCCGCATGCTGTTAATTAGCTCTCAGTGAATTAGAAGTGCAAATTTTCAATCACATAGAACTTTTCACCCTGTGATGTCACTGTGTCTTCGTCTCTTTTTTTTGCCTTAGTTAAGACTACTTACTCAACTTCTGTTTGTCCCTTAATCCTATTTCCTTTTGTTGTTTACAAGCAACAACAGGAACTAGATTTACTCATGTTGTACAACTGTATAAACATTTTTTTTTGTATTTATTTGCTTTTTAATGTGCAATGGGACAGTGTATTTTATTTTTATTTTTGCCAAAGTTGTTTAATAAAACCATTAGAATAGGTAAAACCTAGAGGGAAGGGTGAATTCAAAATATGTGTGGCTTTGTCAGGCCAAAAGAATCCCAAAAACCTTTTCACCCTGTCCAGAAATGACACTGAAAAATGAGTGCATTTGTTTCCTTAGTGGTGCACCACTGTAATTTGTTACTATCAGACAGTAAAAAATAAAAAATAAAGCAGTTAAAAGTCTCCAGCTGTGTTTTTTCATTTTTTGTTTTTCTATTCTCAAACCTCATGGAAGATGGCCGCTCACACTGAGTCGGATTCAGCTGGAGGTTTCTTTCTGTTAAAGGGAAATGTTCCTTACTGCTGTCGCTGAATGCATGCTCAGTATGAGGGGTTGAAGCAAAGGTGATGCAGTCCGTAGTCTACTGATGCCACATAGTTGGATACGCTGCAAGTCAAAGACTGGATGCAATCTGCTGGATTTCCTTTGATAGAAAACTTTTAAACAAATTTAATGTTGAACTGACCTTGGCTGCAATATTTCAAATAAGGGATCAAATTGGAATAACTTTTGTGTCGTAACTTGAGAGGCCACTGGTTCTGATTTGGTGCTATAGAAATAAACTGAATTAAATTAAATAAGATTAAAATTTCAACTATTTTCTTTTGTTGTATCTCACTGAGATTATTTCTGTTGTGATATGGTAAACAACATAAACTGCAGAATTGCAATATAATACTTTTCTCATTATGATGGAATAACATTGTCGCTAAAAGGGGACATAAATAACTCCTACATAAAAAAAATCCTTGAAAAAGAGCTAAACAGGATAAAGAGGATTTCTAAACAAGAAAGCAAAAGATAGACAAAAGCAGTTAGCTTGTATAACAGACAAACAGGCTTCCTTAAAAATGTAGTGAAAAGAGGCTGAGAGAAAAGTTCAACTGGAAATTTGACTTTTAAAAAGTAGAAAAAGAAGAAGGCTGTGAGTTCTGATTTATCATGCAAAGTAAAAGTCATTAAGTGTTGGATCTCAAAGAAATCTTTCCTTACATGTCAGTCATTTTACCCCTTCACTGAGTCATGCAATTAGACCTGTACACCAGCCCAGCACTTCAGTCCCATCTCCTGCAATAAGGAAGCAGCCTGCAGGTTATCACTTCTCCGTCATAGAGCTTTTGTCAGTTATTCCGATTAGCTCACTTTATGCAATTTGAATCTAAATCAAGCCATTCATTTGCTCGCATGCACGCCTTTATCCTTTCCCCGAATAATTTGTGGATGTGCAGTAAGGGGAGGAGAATGTGAAAATGAATGTGAGGAGAAGGCAGAGGATTCCCACTTTTGGTTCTGAAAACGTCTGTCTGTGTAGGCAGGCGGAGAAGGGGGTTGGGGATGGGGGGCTTTCAGCTTCAGAGACGCTAAGGCTTTTATTCATGTTCAGCAAATAAAAAAAAGTTCAGTTAAAGAGAAACTTAAAGAATGCATGAAAGGCATGTGAAGAGAAAGGTGGGTGAATTCCCAAGAGTTGCAAGAAATCAGTGAAGGTGTGAATAGTTCAGTTATCTTTTGATGTAGTGTAGGACTGAACGTAATGATGCGTCACTGGAAATCACTGATGTTTTTATGGCTTTTATTGCCTTGTAGTGCTAAGTTTCTGGTAAAAAAGGAGTGGAAAAGTGTATTTTAGTGCCACTTAAATAAATCTAATAGGGATTATCTCACCTGCTGTCAGAATTACAGACTCAAGTTGCAACAAAGTTTCAAAAATAGTCACACTTAACTTAGAGCTTCACTCCCAAAGTGCAATTAATCCCCAAGGAGAGCAGTGTAGTTATCTGGCATAGTTTTTCTCCTCCTGTTGTTTCCACTGTAGGTACCAGGCCCAAATCAAACAAAGACAGGTAGATGCATAGCATGTAGAATTACTAGCAGCTACCAAGTTTATTAGTGGGTTTGCTCCCTAAAGACGAGTTGGACTTCAGGTCACAGATTTAAAAACCGATGTTTTCGACTGGAATAGAATAGATTTATTTAGAATTTTGCAGATAGCAAAACTTGTACCGTGACTTTGACTTATGGGAAAATAATTTACTTTGACTTTGGCCAAGGATTTGAGACTTTCCCCTGAATAAAATGAGTCTCATGGTGAAACACTCGAAACTTCATTCTTCTGAGACTTGAGACTTAACGGGGTAAGGGTAAGAGTTTTCCCTCAAAGACTTGAGACTTGACAGGAAGAGTTTTTAATTGGATGAAATATTACAAACTTGACTTGGACTCAGATTGAAAGCTTGACTTGGACTTGAGAAGAAGGTCCTGAAATGTGAAAGCCTTGGTTTTGACCCTCAAAGACTTGAAACTTGCCCCTAATAGTTCTGATTTAGACAACTAAACTAAGATTTGGCCCTAAATTACTTGTGCTTTGACTTGAAATTGGACAGCAAGAATTCAGACAAGACTTGAATTGACCTGAACTTGTAATTGCCTGTCAAAAATGTGTCAAAAATTTCTTACATGATGTAGGGTTGGAATAAATGCCCAGAGAAGAGCTGTGCTTTTTGGGTTAAGCTTTGTCAACTCCTGAAAATTTGAAATATGCAAAAAAAAAAAAAGCAGCTTTAGACTTGCTCAAACTTTTCTAGCAGAGATCGTAAGTCATAATAAAGATGTTGTTTTTCTAATTTTGGCAAGAGGCAGAGTTTAATAAGAAAAGAAAGTGTAGAAAAGTTAATCATCCCAGCACCAAAATGTTATTAGCCATGATTTTGTTTTCAGATTTTGCAATACCAATAAAGCAGGTGCAAAGATTTTTCTTTTACAGATTTTCTTGACTGTTTATGCTCCTGAAGGATGAGATTTGCACTTCACAATATGCAGGCAATTAAAAAAAAGAAGCCTGACATTCATGCACACACGCATTCATCCGCCCACTCGCTCCATATCCACTTTCCCCACACTTGCAGAGACTCTAATTACAGTGACACCTTCAAGTAAAAGTTCCATTTGATCAA